AAAAAAAAAAAAAAAAAAAAAAAAAAAAAAAAAAAAAAAAAAAAAAAAAAAAAAAAAAAAAAAAAAACAAGAGAGAAAGAAAAAGAGAGAGTGGGAGGGAGGAATGGTGGAGGGAGGGAGGGAGGGAGGAGAAAAAAGAAAACCCCAGAGCTGATCTCTGAGTTCACTGGAAGTGCTGTGGTCAGTTAATTACAGGTGCCACAGATGCAGAATAGAGAACACTAAAACCCATGCATGGATTTGGACTACTTTCTCACATTCAGCATTTTATCAGATGAGAAAACATCTCCTGGGATTCCTGAAAATGGACCAACATACTCACCTTGGCATTGCAGTTGAAGTAGGACCTGGGGAAGAGTTGCACAGGGAGATGTGAAACCATGAGGCGTGGTCCATTTCGATTAATTAGGTCTTTCTGCAAATGAGCATCCTCTATCCATGGGGACCTCAAAAAAACTGGTACGGTTTGGATCCAGGTAGGGTCCCCATTGACGTGGATCAAATTGATAATTTCAATTATCCAGTGTGTTCCTGGTTGTAAAATAAACGGACAATTCTATTTTAATCTGTTGCATTAACATGGTGAAGATATTTCATATATTAAGGGCCCTGGAGTCTTTTTTTTAATTTTTAACTTTTGTGACCACATGGTAGGTATATATATTTATGGGGTACACGAGACATGTTGATACTGGTATATAATGCATACTAATCACATCGTGGACAATGGGACATCCGTGTCCTCATGCATTTATTCTTTGTGTTACAAGCAACCCAATTTACTATTTTAGTTACTGACTATAGCTAAATTATTACTGACTACAGTCGCCCTGTTGTGCTATCAAGTACTAGGTCTTATTTATTCTTTTCTATTTTATTTGTGTCTATTAGCCACCCTCCCTCCCACCCACCCATCCGCTTCCCTTCCCAGCCTCTGGTGAGCATCATTATTTCTCGCTATCTCTATGAGTTTAATTGCTGTGATTTTTAGCTCCCACAAATAAGTGAGAGCACGCAATGTTTGGCCCTCTGTGCCTGGCTGATTTCATTGACGACAATGACCTCCAGTTCCACCCATGTTGTTGCAAATGACAGCTTCTCACTCTTTTTTATGGCTAAGTAGCACTTCACTATGTCAAAGTACCACATTTTCTTTATCCAGGGTTTTTTTTGTTGTTTTTTTTTTTTTTTGAGACGGAGTTTCACTCTTGTTACCCAGGCTGGAGTGCAATGGCGCGATCTCGGCTCACCGCAACCTCCGCCTCCCGGGTTCAGGCAATTCTCCTGCCTCAGCCTCCTGAGTTGCTGGGATTACAGGCACGCGCCACCATGCCCAGCTAATTTTTTGTATTTTTAGTAGAGACGGGGTTTCACCATGTTGACCAGGGTGGTCTCGATCTCTTGACCTTGTGATCCACCCGCCTCGGCCTCCCACAGTGCTGGGATTACAGGCTTGAGCCACCGTGCCCGGCACTTGATGTATTTTTAAGAGCAGTTTCGCCTCTCCACTAACTTACGCAGTGGGTATCATCATTACTGTTTGCAGTTTTCAGATGAGGGCATAAAGGCACAGATGAACGAAGACCTTCACTCAAGATCACACTGCTAGGAAATGGCAGGCCAAAACTGACGTCATGCAGTGTTCAAAGTCCTTCTGACAACAGCAAATACACTGATCTCCAGCCCAATGCCAGGCAGGCGGTGAGCCCTGAGTCAACCTCAAATGTGGCCCATTGTCATCATGTCCACACATTGCTCCACTCCCCTATGAGCTCCATAGAACCGTGACTTCCCTGCTCTCTACTGTCTCCTCAGCGAAAAAAACAAATACAAAAAAACTCAGTTCCTGGAACAGATTAAAAACTTGGGTTCATATTAGCTGAAAACATGAATGTTGAAATCACTTGTCTGTTTATGTTCCTAACTAAACCGAACTATGAACATTTTAGGGCCAAGAACCTGATTTTATTTACTCATGTGGCCAGAGCCAAGCTCAAAGTCTGACAGGCAGCAACCTTCCTCACATGCCTGCTCAACAGACTTGCCTGCAAAGGTCGCACACCACTCTACCTGCTTGAGTCCATTTCCCTCTCACACTAGCCTCGAAGAGGAGGATTTTAAGTCATTACCACATAATAGATGAGGAAGCCGAGGCACAGATGGGATAAGTAAATGGGCACAGATCACATTGGGAGGGAGAAGCGTGACTCAAACCCAGGGCATCTAACCCCCATGCCCATGTCATCAACACCTCTCCTACAGCTGTTGCTGATAAGGATAAGAGCCACATGAAGGAATCCTGTTGAAGATGGCCTGTAAAGGGAAACACACATAACACACTAAAAAGTGTCAGTTGTGAATTCCACGAAGAGGAAAAGGTGGCACACTTCACCTGCACCACCCTATGTCCCATTAGAGAGAAGCTCAGAGGCACCAGGGCAAGGAGATCCCAGAGAGATCCTCACACAGGAAAAAGGAGAGCAGAGACTCCAGCAGCCCTCGTCACCATCACAAAAGCTGAGATACGGGGCTCTGCAAATCACAAATATAAAATCTTTCCATAAAGAAAAGCCCAGGGCCTGGCCAGGCATGGTGACTCACGCCTGTAATCCCAGCATTTTGGGAGGCCGAGGTGGGTAGATCACAAGGTCAGGAGATCAAGACCATCCTGGCCAACATGGTGAAACCCCATCTCTACTAAAAGTACAAAAGTTAGCCTGGTGTGGTAGCACATGCCTGTAGTCTCAGCTACTCGGGAGGCTGAGGCAGGAGAATTGCTTCAACCTGAGAGGTGGAGGTGCAGTGAGCTGAGATCACGCCACTACACTCCAGCCTGTCGACAAGCAAGACTCCATCTCAAAAAAAAAAAAAAAAATTAACATGGAACTACAAAGAACCCTGAAAAGCCAAAACAATACTGAAAAAGAACAAACCTGGAGATCTCAACTTTCTGACTTCAGAAGATATTACAAAGCTATGATATGATAATGAAAAAACTCTCCAGACATACAGACCAATAGAACAGAGTACAGAGCCATAAACTAAACTTATGCATATATGATCAAATGATCTTCAATCAGGGCGCCAAAACTACACCATGGAGACAGGATAGTCTTTTCAACAAACAGTGCTGGGAAAACTTGAAAGACACTAGCAAAAGAATGAAATTGAATTTTTATCTGACAATACATACAAAAATCAACTTGAAGTGGATTAAAAATGTAAATGTAAAGCCTGGAACTGTAAAACTGCTGGAAGATTGCATGTGGGAAGAGCTTCTAGGCGTTGGTCTCAGCAATAACTTCCTGGATATGACACCAAAAGCACAGTTAACAAAAACAAAATAAACAAGTGGGGCTGTATCAAACTTCAAAGCTTCTGTGAAGCTAAGGAAACAATCAGAATCAAAAGGCAACCTAGAAAAATATTTCCAAACCATACCCCTGATAAGGGCTTAGTATCCTAAACATGCAAGAAATTGCCACCACTTACGAACAAAAAAAATCAGATGTGTATCTTGAAATAGGCAAATAAGTAGACATTTCTCCAAAGACACACAAATGGACAACAGGTATAAGACAAGGTAGTCAACATCACTAATCGTCCAGGAATATGCAGATCAAAACCACAGTTAGATGTCACCTCAGATCCGTTAGGATGGCCATTATATATATATATATATATA